TTTCTAGAAAGTTTTCTTTCGACTCATATAATTAGCCTCGAGCTCAATATTTGCTCGGAGCAAACGTGATCAATTTGCAACGATAGTCAGTCGACCCTATTAAATACATAAAGTTAAATACGTTCTCTATAAAGACCAATATTTGCCTCGCAAATCAAGTCTCAGTCAGATAAGATGTCGACCGACTTTTCCAAATGTAAATGACATTATCTACCTGAGACAATGCGCACACAATTTGTTGTCGTTTGTGGCATGTGACCAGACACCACATTGTCTGCACTACCTTGCTGCTGTCAGCTGTGGCGCAGACTTCGTCAGCGTCTCCATTGGTGGCCACGCTCGGTACGCACAGCACCTAGGAATACAGACAGTCGACGGCCGACCGCCTCAGACACGCATCGTGGCATATGCTTTGGCTTCATCTACAGCTCATTGGTGTCGTCATACCGACAGTCGCCCCACACACACTCACATACACTCACACACAAACACACTCAGACCCGCAACATTGTCGATGTTGCCTTTTCGCCCTGCCGCCTTGCCGCAGTTGGCGCGACTCCCAATCTGATTTCTTGCCAACTGATTTTGTGATTTTCGCAGAAAATCGCGGCAACATTCAAGGATTTGCAGGAGGGAGATACGGCGTATGGCATATGGCGCATGGGGTATAGGGTATGGGGTATGGGGTACGTGGGCTCATTAAATACGCTTTGACATTTGGTGTGCGCGTTGCTCACATTTCGTTCATCTTGCTTAGACGGAAGGCAGCCAGACGCACAGACGAGACAATGAGCCACACCCTCGCCGTTGCTGTCGCCCGCCCCTCGACTTACGCCCCAAGCCCCAAGCCCCACGCCCCCGAGGGCTTTAACTATGGCCCCTATCAACGCAACGTCTCGACGTCTACATCAAATCAAACATGTGGCGCGACAGCCGCAGCATTTCGACATTTATGCGAAGGCATTAAACACCCCGTGGCAAAGCGAATCGTATAAACAGCCCACACGTAATTAGCCGCGTGGACTGTAAAAATTTAAACGCACTATTAAAGCATATGGCACGACAGAGTTATGAATATGCTAACAAGATAAATCTGCTCTGTGCTCTGTGCGTGATGTTTGCCTTTCAAAATTTGTAAATTCGTTTCTTTCCCCCTGCTGGTGCCCCTGCCGAACCACAGCGCTGCCCCAGCGCCACATAATTGTTATGTTGATTGCAAAATTTTTACCGCTTGTGGTTCAGCCAAAGCCCCGACCGTTTGCCAAACAACACTGTTGACGAGTGAGTCAACGGGTAGGGGGAAGGGGGAGTGGGGAGTGGGGCACTGGAGCTGTGCCAGGACGAATAGCGTCCGACGTCGTCGACGCACTTTTGACATGCAAATTTTATGCATTTTTTATTCGGAACTTGGGGGAAATTCTACTCGAAATGCTGGGGGCTACATTTAAGAGCTTGCTCGGACTTGTTTGCTGATGTTGTTGTTAATGCTGTTGTTGTTGTTTTAAGCTCATTGCTGTTTCGTGCTGTGCGCTGCACTGCGTAAGCTCTCTGCCCCCACCCTCTATGCCGCTGCTGCTGACACTCGCCCCGCCCCTGCACTGCAGTCGTAATTAATATAATTTCTGTTTTCGTACGCATAAATTAAACAATACGCTGCGTGACTTTTAACGAGCTCTTAAAGCCATTTTGTACAGCAATTTGAGTTGCAATTTTTCACACTTGACAGTTGGTCAGCCGGACGACGAAGAAGAAGCGGGCGAAGAAGAAACAGGAGGAGGCAGAAAGATGTGTAGAAGAGTGAAAAGTGAAATTGCCAAGTTTTTCAGGCAGGCACTGCCAACTAATTAAGAAAATATTTGCCAAGCAATCGCACGGCAAGCCAACACAGGCGCTGACTGAAGAAAACAACTGAAATGCGTTGCTGCAAAAGCTGCAGGAAATGCCGAGCAGAGTTGTGGCCGAGCAGGATTCCGCCAAGGAGTCAGCCAAGCGTGCAACGGCTGCATGTACGTATGGCAGTGCCGCCTGCAGAGATTGCCTCTCGAAACGAGCTGCTGCATCCAGCATTCGCACAAAACATTTCTCGGCAATTGTGTGCCAAGAGCAAGTCCAAGATGCTGCAGCTGCGGCCTTGCTCCAAAAGGAAACTGTATAAAAGAAGCAGAGCAGCAGAAGAAGCAGGAGGAGAAATAAATACGGGACTATGTGTGTATTCGTTTGATACATCACACCATTTAAAGAAATTCCGCATGAAAGTAAGAGTGTTGAGTCAACAGTTTTGTTCGTACATTACTGAACAAGAGCTGAAAAAGAGCTCACATAAAAATTCCTATGAAATAACTTGATAATCGAAAGCTATAACGGATGAAAAAGGAATGAATATTGCAAGACAAATAGTTTAGGGCTTAAAACCAACGATGATGCCATGAATAGTATAAATGGACTTTAATCCTTGCAATTGATATATATCAATTTCGATAAATGGTAAAGTCAGACTTAGCTTATAGCTGATGCAATGCTTGTTAGTTAACTGATCTGCCGTGGGCATACTGGAAGGTAATCTAGTTTCAATCTAATTTCGATAATTTGTAATCGCTAAATCGAAAATCGCGATAAATCGAAAAGATTCAATTCCCTTGAAAAAATTTGTGTTCGATAATTTTAATTTCTGTGTAAATCGAAACACAAGTAACTGATCACCTTGCGTTGCGAATTAATGGAAATCGACTGTACTTCTTTTTATGATACGAGATATGTCATTATATTAAAATTTCTTATATTTTATTTAAAACGAATTCCAATTTATCGTTCATTTTACAAAGAAGAACTTATACATAACTCATTTAAAACTTTATATCGATAATTATTTTGTTTATATTTTTAGGAGTATTTTGGGAGTATAATAAGTAAATTAATTATATATTTTATTTTACTTATTTTTTATTTTTTAATGGATAAATAACGATTTTCATATACTTGAAATTTGATCGATCTATCGATGTTATCATTAGTTTAATTCATTGATAAGAAATCAGAATCAGGTGAACCCACTACTGAAGGCTTTTGCAGCTGCACTTCAAGTAGTTATTGTAGTAAAATATTTCAGTTTCGAGTAAATCCAAAGTATTTTTCAGCAGTAAATGATAATAATTAAAATAAATGAAAAGCTCTTGTGTAGATTGAATCTCTTTAGCCTCACAGCAGCTTGACAAAGCCCTGATAATTGCTTGCTGATAGAGTGTATTGACATATTGCCTTGTCTGATTTCGCATCAGTTTGCTTATTCATCCTGCTGTATCGGCGAAATCAGCGCCGAATTGGGTCAGGTGCGATTGGCAGTCTGTACACATATCCCCACCTACACTACAGCCACAGCCACAGCCACAGGCACAACCACAGTCACTGGCAGGGCCACGCCCACTTCCATCTTACGCCCTCCCTACCCGTGCAATTTGTCGTTACTGTAAAGTTTTCCTTTTCCTCTGCTGATGGACATCGTTACGTTCATTGCCATCGCTCTGGCGATAAGCAACCGGGCCCCAAATGCATTTGACGTACGCCGTCAGCTTTATGATGAGATTTCCTTGCTGCTCCGCACTGTTAAGTTATCCGTGGAGGAGTGTCCAAATGAAGCCATTGCCCAGGCAGAAGGTCCGCTTTGGCCAAAAAGGGACATCTCAAAGCTTTGTCCATGCAAATTGAAGTGCGTGCTGGGCGCTTTGACTTTAATGAGATACACGCAACAACAAAAGAGAGAAGAGCTGGACGAGTGGGGCAGGGCAGGGGCGAGTGGCAAAGCGGGCTGCCGATGGCGTCAGTGTAAACAAGGCTGCCACATGCCTCATGCCACATGCAGCGCCGCAAAAATTAATATTTGTGTTAATAAAAGCGGCGAGGGAAAGGAAAGGGGGAGCGAGGAGTAAAAAGCATATAACCACAATCTGAAGCAACAGCACCACCACCACCACCCAGATCATAGTCAGCACCATTTCGTTCCGGCAGCAGCTGTGCGGTCGTAAGTGTTTGCATTACTCGCTGGGATCCAGGCACGCGCGCTTAGTGGAGCGGATGTGGCAACTAAATTTGAGGAGCAGCTGCCGCGCGGGGATGCTCGGCGAAATCAGTAAAACGTGCCAAAACGCTAAACAGACGCCGGATCTTTAACTGAATCTCCTGCACCGGCTTGACACCTAAAATGTGAGCAATGTCGATGAATCCCGCACTACACCAGTCCCATCCAGGTGAGTCCCAGGCCAATCCGATATCTAGCCCTAACCGAAGCGTACTCGCAATTGAAGCTGTGCTGCATACAATTCAATTAAAAAGTTAGTTGTTTTTTTTTTTTTTTTTTTTGTTCCCCGTATCCTTTTCTATTTGCTCTCGTTTCCTTGCTCTCTGGTATTTCCTTTCGGTGCAGTAAAATGACGGTGACGTCTCAATTTTAGCTATTTCAGCAACGCCACGCGGCAAAAACCGAAAGCAATGAGCAACGTTCAACGAATGGGATAGCAGGAGAGAAATCGAAAGAGCGTTACAGTGGGATATATTTCCATTTTAAAGGTGTATGATAATAAAGTATAAAATGTCTTATAAATAAAAATAAATAAAATCAAATATAAAATAATAATATATAATATATATTTAATGAAGTTTGATAATAAATAATGTTATGTATATATTATATATATATATATATATTGTAGAAGAGACAAAAAATTAAAACGCCAATTGTGCTAAATAATTAATTTCAAAATATCACTAAAATGCATAGAAATGTATTTAAAGTACATACACTGTTTCAACAATAAAATACTTTTAGGAAAAAATACTTTCCTATATAACTTAGCTTCAGTTCAGTGAAATAAAATAAAAGAAATAAAATAAAATAATAATAATGATAATAATAAAAATAATAATAATAATACCTAATTAAGTTTAATTAAAAAATAAAGAGATTTCAAAATATTTCTCTTACCAGATTATCAGAAATATTTTCTAAGCTTAAGTATGGGAAGAATTCGATCAAGTTGCTGTCACAAATAAATTGAAATCGAAAGTTTTTCGATAAAAACAATTTTCAAATAATTTGAAGAGAACGCACAAAACTTTGAGGACTTTGACTTTGGGAAATTAAAAACGTAAAATAACTTTGGGTAAGTTATGTTTGTGTTTAACCCTTTTATTCGGCCATTGCGCCCATTGTTTGCCAACTGCTGTGCAGTTGCTGCTGCTCGCTGCCTCTCTGAGTGGCAGCCTCCATCGGGTCTCGCCGGCAATCGAGCTGGGCTCCTCCTGCAGCGCTTGAACTGAGCATTGCCTCTCGGCTTGTGTGCGCTTTTTTATATTTTTGTGTTCTGTTTGCCTTTTTCAACACAAGCATCGACGACTGGAACTGAAGTGAAATAAAACTTCACACCATTTGCCCGAGATCCCAGCACCTGTCCGCGTTCCCGCCTCCTGCCCCTGCTTGATGCCAGCTGTCGAAGCAGCTGCTGCTGCTTAGCAATGAATGAAATGCAATTAAGTTGATGTCGATACATGTTTATAGTGGCTGGCTGGATGCTTGAATGCATGCCTGACTGACAAAGCCACACGGAGCTATTTTAGGCCACAACAACAACAACAACAACCGAAGCAACAACAACGACAACGTCAAGTACAAGTATAGAACCTATGAATTGGCGAAGTGCAAATGAATTTCCAGCACTAATGACGAGTGCTATTGAGTTCGAGCTTTGGATGTAGCTATGCGAGAGTGTGCGCATTTGAGCTCATGCGGGTAAGTATAATACGCCGTTGACATGCCAGATATGTAACTTAATTAACTTAATTTAAAGCATGCACACAAGCAGAGCTCACCTTTATTTTGACTGTTAATTAAGCGAGTGCCGAAGTGACTTGCTGCTAACAAAAGCTGTCAAGTCACGACAACTTTTCAGCCAGCAAATGGCATTTAACGGGCTCCCCCCGCCCAACAGCGCCCGCTTAGCTCCTGCAACGTTGGCCCGGAAGAGGCTTTGCATATTTGGTCAGGGCAAACGGTTCGCCCGGGCCAAAGTTGCGCAAGTTTTTCGCAATCATTTCACAAGCTGCACTTTTCGCATATGAACATGTGAGTGACACGCCCACATGCTTAGTGGGCGGTTTGCGGCGTGTCTTCATAATGGATTCCCTGGCCTGCCAGCAAAGAGACGAGCAAATTTGCGGCTACAAGTTCATTTATCATATGCTTGAGTAATTGAAATTTCAACGCTGGAACCATCCGACCATCCGACCACACCAGAGAGCAAGACAAGCTGGCAAGCCGGAACGCATCCCTACTCTCTGCTAAAGTCATTCCCCCGCACACCCGGCAGCAGCCAATACATTAGACGCCTCCTCTAACACATTCCGCTTTGAACTTAATGGATATGAAATAAATAAAAAATGTATAAACTCGCTTACGTTGGGCATGGGCCGCATTCTAAGCATATGCATGAGTAATATGCAAAAAAAAAAAAAAGTGGGAAAAATAAAATAAAAATAAGAATAAAGTGTGTAACAAAAAAAAAAAGGTTACCAAAAAAAACGCCTTTAGCTCGCTCGCAAAATGGCCGCTGAACCATTATTGAATGTGCTTGAAAATCGATTGGGGATTACTCTCGAACGCTTTTCATTTTTACCTCGTCCGGGGTCTTCATGGCATAGGCCTAGGCATAGGTGTATTTATTTTGGGCCCCTGAGACTTATCGCTTCTAGGAGCTGCCAGGCCGTATACTCGGCGCCCGGTCTCGCCTGCGCATCGAAGCAAAAATGATTTATAAGGTACACAAAGCAAGAAATGTAGCCGCACCTAGCTCACTAGCTGCTCCCAAAATAGATAGGGCAAGGTGAAGGTGGAAGGTGGAAGGTGGAAAGCGGAAGGCGGATGGTGGAGTTGCGTCCATTCCTATGCCAAGCCATTATTGGTACTGTATAAATCCACATATCAGACGGTGCTGCTATTTCCGCACCAAGGCTGGTGACACAAAAACGCAACCATTTGACCATAAACATTGAACTAAATTCAAAATCAATTTAGCGGAATAATAAAAGCTAGCCAGGGTCGCTGTGTTCTGGCCCTGGCGCTACTGCTGCTGTGCGAATGGGACTGCCAGCACTTTGTTGTCATCTTTATTGTTGTTGTCTCATAAGCCCTAACATGCTCCTGTTATGCTGCAATTATGTCAACAATTGACTCTGTGTCAGCCAATTGATTTGCTGTTGTACGTGCCGCTGAATCCATCAGGCTCCAATAAACTTAAAAACGTAATGAGATTACATATTTAACTAGAATTTGGGCGAGTGTGAAATAAAATAATATACGACTAAAAGTGAAGTTTAGCGATTTCAAAAATTAGTAGATTGACAGCCATTTTATTTCCTTTATTTTTATCCTCAACTGTAAGAGCTGCAGCTATGTCAATGGTTGACTTTGTATGGCAGTCAGTTATTGCTGCGTGATGTAAAATAATGTATGAAGTCAGTCAAACATGGATTAAGAAATTAATAGCGGTATATTTAAATATACATCCTACGTTTATACTTAGCTGTATTTTTAGTTTTTTAAAGTGAATGCATTTTATTGTTTTTGGTGACTGCAAGACTATTCTGGATTTTCTTATAAATATCTTCACATAATTATTGTGATGAGAGCATAGTACCAGCCAGTGCTCAGCCACTCTAGTTCTCCTGTCTTGAACACTCCTAGTAGGCATTTTGCTGTTTGAAAATATTATATTGTGCAAAAGCTCTTATTTCTAATAAATATAGATGCCCAAGCACTTACGACAAATTGCCATAAATAAGTATGTACATGTGTATGTCTGAGACGGGTGTGTGTGTGTGTGAGTGTGTATTCTGCCTACTGGCCACATCTTAACTTATTGGCCAGGGCCAAAACGCACTCAAGCTGCCAGGCAGCGACAACTGCAGCCGACTCCTGGCTTATTTATGCCTTTAGCCAAGCTCAACAACAAACAGCAAGAAGCTGCAAAAAATAAAAAAATGAAACTATTGTAGCCAAAAAGTCAAGTGAATTTCCTTTGCTGGCCAAACACACAATAAAAAGCTGAAACACACACACACACACACACACACTCACAAACACACACACAACCACAACCACACAGTCACAGAGAAACAGAACACGCAGCCGAACGAAACCGAACAGGATGAACGAGTTGCTCGCATTGCCATGAAATGTACTTTGTTATGAATTTTTGTTACATCCTTTTTCGCTTTTCGTTTTTCGTTTTTTCTTTTTTGGGCTGCTTCTTCGCCTCCATTTACTTCCTTTCTGCAATGGCAACGGCAACGGCAAAGCCAACAACAAAGATTAGACGAAGGACGCAAACACATCCGTAAACAATTTGTTCATGCCCCTTTATTCTCCTTTTTTCTAGCTACTCTGCTATATCTTCTTTGTGTTTATTTCAATGCGACGCTTTTTGATAAGCAAAATAAAGAAATACAGAGAAATTGAAAAAGCTGCCACCCACAGACATAAAAAATTGTAGCAAAAAACAAAAAATGAAATGGAAAACAAATGAAAATAAAACAAACAAAGCACAAACACTAAGCGATTCATTGGTTAAATGGGGTGCACACAGTGACAATTGGCTTTGCAGATTTAAATATGCTTTACAATTAAGATGAAGCAAGAGAGCAGCAATAAAGAGGAGCTTGTGCTTCGGCTCCAACTGCAACTTTAAGTATAAAGTATTAAGTATTATGTCAGCTCCACTGTGAAGGCAATAGAAATCATTCTGATCATTGCAGACCTGACGGATGGGATACTTGGCCTCGGGTTAGAGGGGGGGACACGGCAAATCGCAGCCGCACAGGCAACAGCTGCCTGCCTTGACATTAAGATTGCCCTCTGACAGAGACGGATTGCAAGCGAAGGGGTCATGCGAAATCAGTTTGCTGTTATTTTATTTTATTTTTGTTTCCTCCTTTACCGCTTTTGCCGGCGGCGTGCTGCCTTTCGACCCTGTCCTCTTGTGTATTGAGTCTTGTTTATATGCGTGTTTATATGTCCTTTATGTACATTTGGAAAAGTCAACGTAATTTTTTCATTCGTTTCCATTCGCTTATTTGCCATTTCATTTCCATATGCGCAAGGCAAATAAGTAAACAATTGAAGTTTACTTTTCAACTTGGAGAGTGTGTTGTTCGTCTGTGTGTGTGCGTGTGTGTGTGTGGGAGTACAATGTTGTTTGTGCTTTTTCGACAGCCGCGCTTGTATTGTAGTAGGCGTGGCTGGGCACATCCTTGACAGGGGCACGGCAGCCAACAACTTCACTGGCTCAGTGACATGTGTGAAATGTTTGCCGTGTTTCGTATCAAGTTTTGACACACAAAAGGCGCTTGGCAAATTGACAGCCAGGCCAAGTTGACAGGATTTGCGCGCGAAAGGCTTTCGAGGAAATATCGACTTGGACGCACTGAGGCGAGGTATGTAGGTGCTGTAGGTGGGATAATCGACAGGCTGTCATTTTGTTTACACTAAATTTCAATTAAGTCTTGAGACCTCGTTCACGCTGACGTGCTGGACACGAATGCAAATAGTACTCGACGCCGAAAAACCAAAGCGCGACAGCAACAATAACAGCAATAAGAACTGAAAGAACTCGGGAAACAAAAACAATTGCAAATGCTGTCGCCAAACAAATCTCAACAAACTTTGCGAAACAATTTTATGCGAGAAAATGAAGCCACTTTTGGCAGCACAACAACAACAACAATAACAGCAACAATCCGCTGCGTGGGCTACGGCTGCAAAGTGCGACTGATCAGCAGAGGCTGAGGCAGAGGCTGGGGCTGAGGCATAGCTTGTGCGGATTTTCTGACTGGATTTAAAATGGAAATTATTTGAGAAATCCAATTCACTTTATTACTTTGGGGCATACGCAAAGTAAAACAAAAGCAGCAGCAACAGCTACAACAACAACAACAACAATAGCGGCAACATAAAGAACAGCCGCAGCAACAACAGCGAGACCCAACGACCATAAAAATTAATGCAATAAAAACACATGGCAAGCGACAACAGAGAAAACACTCCACTCAACAAAAACTGGCGTCAAAATGAGCCAAGTTTCTGGCGAAGAAAAGCCATAAGAAAAGCCAAAGTTAAAATCTGAACAACTAACAGCTAGGCGAGATATGAAAAGTCTACCTTTCCTGCAGGAAGTAAAAACAGAGAACGGCTCATAGTTCATAGCTCATGGCATAAGTAGACCACGATTCCATATATTTTGCTTATATTTTTGATCAGCCATTCGCAGTTGGGCCTCCGCTTGAAGTGAGTAATATTCAGCAGGTGGGCTCTCCATTATGTTCGGAATAAGTAGGTTTCTAACCTTCATAATGTGTCACTGCCTGTCAGAGGAGACGACGACTTCCGGCAGCCCCAGCTCCAGCCGAGTCCAACTCCACTAATCGCTGCCATGGACTACTCATTTTCTAGTCTACTCATAATTATACCACACTATTTGGTCGCTTTGATGACTGTAAGTCAGAAAGCCTCCAATACTGGGGTTGATGTATATGTATAATCCCTAATGAGCGCTCAAATACAAATTGATATCAGATGCTCGTTGGTTTATGTGTATATATATACCCGGTTTTGTATTCATATATCAAGTGGTATTCGATGGATGAGTTGCCTTAATGACTGCCAGGAATGGTTGCAGCATTGCCTTAATGGAGACTCAGCTCCTTAATAGTGTGGCAAATGGTTCGTATTACTTTAATAAAAAGCATATAGAAAAAAAAATTTTATTTTTTTTTTTTTATTAAAATAATTGAAATATAATTACTGTGAGGAATTTTATGCTTTCATTTCAGTATTAAATAGTTCGCTTGACCACATTGCTATATCAAATATTTTGAAATTAACTAACTAATGTTTTTGTCACTCAATATATGATTTTTTGTGACCCAGTCACTGGAGTACTGGAACTCTACAAAGTATGTAAGAGTAAGGTAAATGTGAAACTAAAATTTTTGTTGGAGCTTTTTATACCGTAATATATAAAATATATAAATAACATGCTGCGAATACTGAAAACAAAATACTTTAATCTGAATTTTGCAAATAATATATACACATTCATAAAAAAAAAAAAAAAAACTCAAAATTCTATAAAGGATTTTATACTGAGTTCAATTACCATTTTAATAGTCAATGGAAATTTCGAAAAAAAATAAATAAATAAATAAATAAAAATTATTCGTTTATATAAATTATATGAAATGTCTAACCGATTCGTTGCGATGTTGCAATGTAGTTAATATTATTAGATAATAATATATATATTTTTTTTTTAAATTCTTATAGTAGCTAGTGGGCACAGATCTGTTGAGTATGTAAATCGCCTTTGGCGCAATCGATGTAGATAAGACAAACTCAATGCCTGCCCTGCGCAGGATGGCTGATGTTGAGGTTGGGTTGGGGTTGGCCTGGTTTCAGTATCTTGGGGCTGCTGGCCTGTATTTGACAGCAATTAACAGGAGCAGAGGGTCATAAATATTGTGCCTTAGCTGCCTTTTGTTGGCGCTCCTGCGGATATTCTTGCCTGTTGTTTACTCTGTCGGCATGCTTGATTGAGCTTGAAGCTGCGCCTCATAAAATCTGCGCTCGAGTCGAGCGCGTAATTATACTTTTCAATTATGCATAATTATGTGCAGAGAGCAATTTGTGTTTTGTAGCTTAAAGTGGAAAGTTTAAAGTGCAGCGCAAAGGCCCGCCCGCTATCCGGGCCCGTTATGCGATATCCCCTGGGTGGACTAAGGCGAGGCGACCGCATTCGCATTTTTGTTTGCCTTCCGCTGCCCCTGCTGCGGTTGGCATTGGCCATGTCGTTGGCAAGGACAAAAACAAAAACAAAGGCAACATGAACGAGAATGGGAGCGCAGCACAGTGCAGCACAGTGCAGCGCAGCAGGCAGCAGGCAGCAGGCAGACATAAATCAGGATTTTCGCAGCCTGGGCCACAAATGTTTTTTAAAGGATTCGCCGTGGGTGCTGCCATAGCGGCCGCAACCACAGTAATAACTTGGAGGGTTCGTTGTAGTCGACAATCGCCGATAATCTTATGCATGCTTAAACAGGATTCGATATGTAAGTATGTGTGTTTGTGTGTGTATGCAACTGGGGCTCAAGTGCTGTGCCCCAGACTTGCGACTTACCCATCATGCAGCAGAGCAGCGTCGAAAGGGTCAACATTCTGCTTGGTGGTGGCATCCAGTGCCGTGTGTTTCGCGCTTTTTGTCTGTTGTCTCTTTCTCCTCTCTCTCTCTCTCCCTCTCTCTCTCTCTCTCTCTCTCTTTGGATCTCTTTGTCGCAGGTATGCTCCTTGAATATCCCGATTATTCGCACTGTATCGCTCGCACTGATACTTTCGCTTGCCCAGCTAGTTTTTGCTTAATTTCCACTATCGAGTTACAGTTTGTTAGCTCCAAGTGTTTTTATATCTGCACTATTATAGTTTTATTACGTTTTTTTGCATTCTCACTGTAAACGATACTATTATTTGGATGCAGCCACACACACACACACACACAACAGCAGCAACAGCAACGATAACAACAACAATTACAGCTCTCCTGCTGCTGCAGTTGCCTCTCCTCCTGCCGCTGCTGCTGCTGCTGCTGCTGCTGTCGCCTCTCATGAATTAAACACTAGCAATGACATTTAAAACACTTAATTCCAACGGCAGACAATTTAATCTTTTAACGTTTGTTTGTTTTCAACCTTTTCTCGTTCGCTCCCGTTTGTTGTTGTTGCTGTTGTTGTTTGTGTTGTTGCCTAGGCCAAATATCATTATTTGTTTTTCCATTTCCTTTCTAGCCTTTTATTTATGCCATTTTGTTGTTGCTCTTTGTTGCTGTTTGCCGTTTTTTGTCGCCCCTTCCATAGTAAATTGATTTTGTCAGCTCTCTGAACTTAAATTGATTAAATTTATCATTGTTTTTATAATGCTGTTAGCCCGAACGCATTTACGCATTTCCACCTAATAAAATCAACTGACTGAAAGCCTTGAAAAATACAGAAATAATACAATAAAAGGTGTGGCTTGGCATGTGTCTTTCTCTATATTGATCGTTTGCATTATTCATAAAAATAAAATATCTCTTCAGCTTTCAGAAATAGACTGAGTAGGCGTTGCAGGATATTTTTAATGCACAACTAGCTGGAAATATCATAGGTGCTGTAAAAATAAACAATTTATGAAACAAGCATACTTTACGTTAAAACTATTATTAACACAAGTTTCTTAGAAGTTTGCCAGCTTAATTATCATCTGGAGTCGTTTCTCTCCTCTAAAATGAAAACCAATCGACTCGCTGCACGCATTCAAGGAGGAGCTCTACACTCCCTCTATAATTAGCAAAACTTTTACTCGGGGTGCATATTCTATGAGTCGAACCGACACGCGTGTCTGCTGGGCCAAACCGAAAATAAATCTGTTCACTAATAAAGGAATCAACGTTCCAAACATATCAGATGAGCACGCAGTTATTTACATACATATTTGTGTGTATTTTATTGCATATGGGCGTCTGGGTCGAGAAGGGGATGCATGTTAGATTGACCTGGGGGCTCGTCACGTCTCGAAGTGGAAGCCCGCCAACTGTCGCTTCGCCCCGGGGGCAACCTTTGACTACCCTTGGCAGCTTTGGCAATCCTCATATATATTCGAATTTATTCACAGGATGTCGTCTAGGTATCAATCAGTTTAACCTGCGGCAGGTTCAAGTTTTCTCCCCCAGTGCCTGCTGCCTCAGCTCTGCTTGAGATTTGTTTGTAATTTGTTGATCCCATTGTTGGCTTTCAGTTCAGTTCGCACGGCACTTAGCGAAAGGTGGAGTGCAAAATTAATTAAAAGCTAATTAGTTGCAAATTTTCAGCAGTACCTTCAACTAATTACGAGTTCTGTGTGGTGCTGGGTGGGGCAGCGCTAAGGGCCAACTCAAAGGTACAATGACTGACAGCAGCTGATGCTGCCCTCTGCTAGACTTCAATCAGCAGCAGAAGCCTCTTAGCCAGCTTAGCCAGCCCCGTGCCCCGTGCACCGTGCACCGTCCCCCGATCACCGCTCCCCGTGCCCTGTGGGGGCCACTTGTCACTGTTGCTTCCGTAATGGAATTAGAGACAGGACAGGCAGGACCAGGCAGGCAGCGAGCTGACTGAAAGGCACAGGACCACGCTAGTGCTCCTGTGCCACTCAAAAGTGTTAACGCACTCAGCTTCTTTGTGTTGTTGGTATATATATTTATACACATACATGTACACATATATACGCGTGTCTAGTGTGTGTAAGTGTGTATGTGGCTTGGTAATTGTTGCCTAAGGCTGTGAGAGCTGAAGTGACGTCCACTTGTCGCACTTTCTCTCTTACACTTCACTCTGTCTCAATCTCTCTCTCCCCTGTCTCTCTCTCTCTCTCTCTCTCACTCATTCGCTTTGCCCTCACAAATTGTGAATGTTTGTGTAATTGTAAACGTCTGCAGTTTGTTGCTCAGCTTTTGAGCATTTTCCTATCCCCTCTGGCGACGCTTAGCATTATGCTCAGTATCCGTGATTAGATGATGAGCCCTTCATTGCCCCTCCCCCGTTGCGTTTAACCACTTCCGCATTGCTACTGCTCGATGCTGTCCCGTGCGGCAGTGCCGCGCATTGTTCATGAATATTTTATTGATATAATGGCCATGTGTGTTGATTTTTGGTTAGTGTCCGTATTGTTAGCCTATTTAGCTAAATTGAAAACAATTTACCCTGATTTTTCTTACCATTCTACTAATGGTCATGGGCCCATCGGGAGTTCTTTCACACTGCAGTTAAGACTAAATGCCATGTTGAAACAGAGAATCATCAATAGTATTATTTATTCAAGAAATATGCAAGATCTAGTGTACTCGACTAAGGGATACCTGAACGCTTCGAAGAAGGTATATTCCTCTAACGTGTCATATCAACCATAAGCACACGTTCTAGAGTTGCTACTCGAGCCGCGACTGCGTTCTAGTTGCAATTTGGAGTAGGCTTTGGGAACATATTTGTTGGAGAACTGTTGATCTATTTGATGGACTTCTTTCATTAAATTTTCAGAGCATAATAATAACATTCAAGTTTGTATATTTCCCAATGCAAAGTCACTTTAGATTAATCTCAATAATGCAAAGCTTGAAGACTCTAGCTAGACATATGTACGAAATATGATTTAATACCTTATTTTTGATACAATTATAAATCGATAACACTAAAGCGGAATACGTTATCGATTATTTTAAACGAATTTCAAATTTAATCTCTAATCGGTGAGATCGATACGTTCACTCGCACGGACAGACAGACAGATGTAAGGCTATACCCACTTAGTTCTTCGCCTAGAAGAATATATATACTTTTTAAGGTCTACCACGTCCCCTTCTGCCTGTTATATACATTTCAATTAAACCTATATCCTCATCTTACCATTTTCAATGGTGTCAGGGCATAAAAATAAAACGACCTCCGTTTCTAGTGGCATTTGAATAGTAATAAAATATTTATGTGAGCATTGAGCATTTCAATTTATGTATATTTACTGATTGAATTGCAAAATATTCAATTCCCTTTCTGCATCGTACACTTTCACACACTTTGCCATTGAAAGGCTTGTCCCAATTTTCAGCTCTTTCTGACTTTTGTCTTGTGACAGCTCGAGTCCAGATAAAACAACAAAACGAAACTTGGCACTTGGGTGTTTGTTTCTCTGTCGCCGCTTTTGCTGATGTGTGTTCTTATTTTTAAGAACTCCGCAAAAGTTTTCTCGCCTGTCTTCAACTACTAAGTGCAACAATCAGGAGTAAACTTTTTTGGCGAACAAAAGCAGCTTCAGCAATAGCTTTTACTGTCTGCTTGTCTGTGGGACAACATGACGTATGTGCTACAAATTCGTTTACGCAACGCGCATACGCACTGTGCGCTCGCTGGCGATCTCAGCCACCCCGCTTAGAGCCACCGCAGCCGCGTTGTTTGGCACATTTTTAAGTTAATTTTTTATGTGTTTTCTATTAATTTTCGTCACTCGTCCGCCACCGCCGATGGCTATGAAAATATTGAATTACAAAATATTGCCGCTGGGGAAACGTGTGTACACAATTTGTTTTGACGCGCTTTCCATTTATCGGCCGTGCTAAAGATCAAAGACGATTTAGTACACTTTCGAGGTGCTGGTATTGAGTTCTGTTTTTAGTTTGTTAATTTATGTTGGTGTTGTGGAGCTGATGGGCTAAATATTGGGTAGTCTAAAAAGTTTTTTCGTATTTTGCCAATAGATGTCGTTGGCGTCGTATATCTCCAGTGCTACCAATCACATTGTGTACACATTGTGGTGTTCGATTGGTAGCACTTTAAGCTTCGATTGCCAAAAAAAAAAATGTAATTCAAAGAATTTGAAAAAAGTTACAGCTGTTCAAAAATAAGTGAAAATAAAGAAGAAATTCGCTATATTTTGAAATTTTTGTATAAAAAAGGGAAGAATGCCACGCAAGCCACTAATGAAATTTGTGATGTTTACGGTGACGATGCTCTATCAGTTCGTGTAGCACAACAATGGTTCGCACGCTTCCGTTCAGGAAATTTCGATGTGAAAGATGCACCTCGCTCTGGTCGACCAATCTTTGAAAAAGTCGATGAAATTATGGAAAGGATTGACCAAGACCGTCACATAAGCAGCCATGACATCGCAAATGAACTAAACATTCATCATCAAACGGTTCTGAACCATTTAGAAAAGGCTGGCTACAAAAAAGCTCGATGTATGGATACCACATGAATTGTCTGTGAAAAATTTATTGGACAGAATTAACATTTGCGATTCTTTGCTGAAACGAAATGAAATCGAACCATTTCTGAAGAGAATGGTAACAGGAGACGAAAAATGGATCAAATACGACAATAATGTGCGAAAAAGATCATGGTGCAAGAGTGGTGAAGCTCAACAAATGGTCGCAAAGCCAGGATTGACGGCTCGAAAGGTAATGCTGTGTGTTTGGTGGGATTGGAAAGGAATAATCCACTATGAGCTGCTTCAGCCTGGTCAAACGATTGATTCGACACTTTACTGTGGACAACTGATGAGATTGAAGCAAGCAATCGAAAAAAACGGCCAGAACTGATCAACAGAAAGGGCATCGTATTCCATCAGGACAACGCCAGACCACACACATCTTTGATGACCCGGCAAACACTGAGAGAGCTTGGCTGGGAAGTTTTAATGCATCCACCATATAGCCCTGACCTTGCACCTTCGGACTACCATTTATTTCGGTCAATGCAGAACTCCCTTAACGGAGTAAAGTTGGCTTCAAGAGAAGCCTGTGAAAATCACTTGAAGCAGTTTTCAAAGAGAAACCACGAAAGTTTTACACGAATGGAATTATGTCTCTAGTGGAAAAATGGCAAAAGGTGGTCGACCAAAATGGTGCATATTTGATTTAATAAAAGTTTATTATAAATATTTAAAAATATGATTTGAAGTTTCATTACAAATACGAAAAGACTTTTTAGACTACCCAATATAAAACAACTTAATTTGCTGACTGCTAATGAGGCAGACTGCTGCGGAGGGGCGCGAGTGTGCTGCCAGCGGGAAGGGCAGGGCAGGGCAGGGCAGCAGCAAGTCGTTGTCGTTGTCGTTGTGTAGGCGTAAACACATTTTTATTTGTTGTGTGTGCGTTTTGGTGCTTTTATTTTATTAGTTTCGTCTTTTGTCGCCCGCCACTGCTAACAAGTTGCGAACACGAGGCGGGCACCGAAAAAAAATCGCATATAATTCGAAACGATATCATAAAATATTCGCGTGCGTCGCGCGCTTTAGTAAACTGCCCCAAAAGACATAAGCTAACGGCACTAACAACAATTCCAGCAACAATGGCAACAACAATGCCAACAACAATAGCAACAACAACGGGCCTTTCAATTTCTTCTCCTGCCAAGCCGGCAATGAGGCAATGAGGCTTTTCCTGCGTTTTCACACGTTCAAAATTTACGACTTTGGCTTTTTTTCGAGTCGTTCTTGAGATGTTGGTCTCAGCTTTTCTTATCCACAAACACACACACACACACACACACATACATAACATACACACTCACACAATCACGTACGATTTGCCACACTGGGGTCGATGCAGATACTTTTTGCTGCTCACGTTTATATTTTTTAAACTCGAGTTTTATCAACTTGTTTTTGTAATCGAAATTGAACTTGGATCCGACTGGGGATTCTGTTTCGCGCGCGTGACCCGCTGCGCCTGTCTCGCATGTGCTCACTGTCGCAGTCACACACAAACTGAAACAGAAACTTATTTTGGGCCTTGCACTTGCCAGCCAACGCCGGACGAGTCTTAGCCTCCTCCATTATCAGGATGAAGCCTCGTGTTGTTGTCGGTTGTTGTTGCCCTCGTCTTCGTGTCTAGTGCCCATCGCCAGCCCTGCTGATGTCGTCGCCGATGTGTGACAAACCCGAACGCCAGCCAGTGTCAATTCGTCAATTCGCCGCAATTTGTTTCTCTTCGGCACGAGTTGTTGCTCTTCGCGTTTCCCAAACTTGTGCTCTTCATGTGTGGAGCCGTTAAATTGTTAAAAATCATTTGATTGCAATTGAAATCTAGTTAGCAATTGCAGGGCGTCAGATGAAATACAGACTAAAAACTGTGCATTAGTGGCATTTTCTAAATTACACGCAATTTTCATTACTATGCTCAAAGTTGAGAAAGAATAAACACTATTCTTGATCAATATATCTGAGCAAAAAATAAAAAGAAATCAATTAAAAATAAAATAAATAAATAAAAAAATAAAGTCATTAAATAAATAAAAATAAATAAATGTATATTTTATGTGCTAATTTGCTAAAGGTTTATATATGGTAACTGTTTCTCAGTGAGAGTTAACAGACGTGTTTACTATTGTGCTCTTCAATTATTCTTGTTTTCTTAGTTAATTATTTTTATTAAATTTCACATAATTGCGGTTCGGTTGTATATAGCAAATATCTATATTATCCTGTGCAAGGTTTGATCCGTTGTTCAC